TTTTTTTTCTTCCCYCTTCTTTTTCTCTTCCTCTTTTGCTCCTTTTCTTTAATTCTCTCTGTCCATCCTTCCATCCCACCCCACAATCTTCTACTCTTTATGGAGAGATCGTATTTTTTATGATAGACAAACAGCTCGATCATTTTCATGTGCTGATGTCTCCTTTTTCATGTACCACTCTGTTGAGGGCTAATATATGAAGTTATTATATTTCTAAACTTCATGAATCCTATCTCCCTTCAAATTAATGATGACCATTTTTCGAGAGGTGTCCCACCTCTCAAAAAAATGTTAGAGTGAAGGACTGTGAAAGATACTGTTGTGCATCAGCTTCTGATCTYCATTAAGCCATTATGTGGGATGAAATAACATCACACAAAAAAGGTAAATCTGTCAGAAACCCTCTCTTCAGCTGCAGCGTGCAGGTTGGATGAACAGTAGTCAACCTTCCCCTCAGGGTGTTGTCAGATGGCAGCATTTCACTGTGAAATGTTTGCAGCTGGAGATGACATAAAAAATGATAAAGGTGCTGATCATGTCAAGTCTGAGCCAAGCAGGGACTTTCTGTGTGCTTTACTTCCTCCTTTGCTTTTACAACCTGAAATATTTAATTCCTGCGATGTGTTAAAGGCCCCGAGGCTACAAGGAAACAACTTTGAAAGAGTGACTGTTTGGGAGACTCTTGCTGGAAAGGCTTTTGTTTGAGCACGTATGGAATAAAAATAATTAACCCCTGAGAGAACAGTGGGGTCAGGGGTGACAGGGATGCAAAGCCATGYGTCTCTCTGAGGACAGGAATAACTGCTGTGAGGTGAACAAGGTGTGAACACCAGMAGCTCCCCTGTATTCAGGTTTTTGGCCAGCTAGGTAAATCATCATCTTTCACTCAGAGAAGAAACAGCTCTTGCAGTTCACCTGTCATCTTAAATTTCAGACCAGTTTCTGAGGGTCTGTGGCTTTGTGACTGTAACAAATGGAAAAAATAAGTTAGAATGAAATTTATCCAAAGAGAAATGGGCTCCATCAGCAGCCCAAGATGTAACAAGATAGATACAAACATTTTTTTAGCTTATACTCACCAGTCCTGTTACAAATCAGCTAAAGTTCATCGATTTCAGGCTTTGCACAAGTGAACCATTAAATAACAATGAAATATATATATATTTTCAGTTTTGCTGTTACACTGAAATGATTTCTCCTTTCTCCCTTCTTCCCTCTCTCCCCTTTTTCCAGTTCAAGCAGAAAAAAAAACCCTGGTCAAGGGATCTCTCTCTGGAACTTCAGTCCTGCCGTGCTTCTTTTCAACCACACCCACCATATCGTCCAGCTACGCCGCCGAGTACCTCCGCATCAAATGGTCCAAGGTTGAGCTGGACAAAAGCGGCAAGGACGCCAAGGAAACCACGGTCCTGGTGGCCCAAAATGGCAACATCAAAATTGGTCAAAGCTACAAGGACAGGGTGTCTGTCCCCAGCAATTCGGAGGAGAGCGGGGACGCCTCGCTGAGCTTCTCCAAGCTGCGGGCCAGCGATGCTGGGGTCTATCGCTGCGACGTCATGTACGGGGTGGAGGACACGCAGGCCATTGTCTCTCTGGCTGTTGAGGGTAAGGATTTGCCTATTTCACTTTTAGCCAACAGTGATTCCASTTAAAACAGCAAAACTCAATGACTAACAAAAAATTAGGGGGGTGTTTAAAGCAATTCGCCCTTTGCATAGGGTGAAAAGAAGCACCTTATGATGAAAATTTAGGATGAAAAGAAGCAGCTGAAACTGTGGTCATMTTGATGTCCCAAACTGTGTTTCCACCAAAAGTGAGACCCWCTCTTTCTGGGAYRGGAACATCAAGCACAAAGGAAGCGTTTCTTTTTGCCCTGTRATAAATTTGGGACAGGCAGAAGGAAACTTATCTGAGAGAAGCTGAAGGAAAACAAGTAGGGAGGTGTTTGCTAAATGTGGGGCATGCAGGGATAGCAGTTTACTTGCCATCACTGTTAGGAAATAGCCTCCAAAATGCTGAGAGGAAGAAGACTATGTGTGGAGAGACAGAAGAGACAGGACCCTCAGGATAGTTGAGGTTGGAGAAAAGATCTAAGATTATCAAGTCCAAGCATTAACTCAGCATTGCYGTATTCACCACTAAACCAGGTCCCAAAATGCAACAACCAAACATTATTCGAACTCTTCCAGGGATGGTGAGACACCCACTTTCCTGGGAAGTCTGTTCCAATGCCTGACCACCTTTTTATATCCTGGTGTCCCCCCTGCCCTGCCCTGGCCCAGCCTGAGGCCGTTCCCTCTCCTCCTGTCCCTGTTCCCTGGAGCAGAGTCCAAATCCCCTCTGGCTGCCCCCTCCTGGAGTTGTGCAGAGCCACAAGGTCCCCCCTGATCCCCCTTTTCTCCAGGCTGAGCCCCTTTCTCAGCTCCCTCAGCCCCTCCTGGGTCTCCAGACCCTTCCCCATCCCCTCAATCTCTTGCCCTCATGGTCCCAGAGCTGTCCCCAGGGTTGGTCCCTCAGCAGTGTCCAGCACAGGGATGGTCACTGTCCTGGGGCTGTGGTCACCTCATGGCTGGGACAGCCCAACGTCCATCAGCCTCTTGGCCACCTGGGCACCCCTGAGCTCGTGTCCAGCTGCTGTCACCACCACCCCCCAAAGATGGGCTTTTCCTATCTTTTCCACCCCAAGCTGGAGCGTTCCATGGGTTTGATCAAAACACAAGTGTGAGTGGCCAAATGARGATGTGATGTGTAGAGCTCACTCGTGGAGCACGGTGAGCACAGCACAGAGGCTGCTCCAGAGTTCTGCTGAGCCTGAGCTTACAGACTGTGCTGAAAGGCAGGATATTCACCCAGGCTCGGTGCCATGCACAGGCAAATCCTGGGCTCAGGTTCCTGCCTGTGCTTGGAACAGCCCTGAGCTCTGTGCGTGGATCTCCTCGGAGGAGCCGTGCCTTGCACACCCCTTTGCAGTCTGGTGGTTTTTATAAGTGAATGAATCCCAAAACAAACATTAATATCTGCTGCTGGAAAKCATGGCTTTGGCTATGACCCTTTTGGTGAGCTTAATGTTGTATTCTTCTTCCAATATGCCCAGCCYAATGTGAACAGTCTGTTGGCATTGATTGGACAAAAGGATTGGAAGGTGTGGCCTTAAATTGGAAATGTGATAAATCAGTGTAGCCATTAATGTCTGCAGAACTTCATAAACTGTTAGGTCTTAATGACAAAAGCAAAAGAAAACCTGGTTTGAACATTACTTTTCTTAACGAGTGTACCTGGCATTCCTTACTCCTTTTCAAGTGTTCCCTTGACTACATATCTATATCCAGGAGCAGCAGATGTTTATGACAATAAAGTATCAGATGATTTATGGTGGTACTTTAGCTTTTGTAGTTTCTGCTCCTGTGAAAACWCTGCAAAGTGTTGAACTGATTAGATTTATGATTTTACTTCAATGAAAATTTCACACTCTCCATTTTCTTTCTGCAACTGTTCTTTTCCATGACTACTGTAATGTCAAAATTTCAGCAGAGGAAAAAGCTAGGTCTTGACCTAAATGGAAAATCGCTTTGCAAGACTGTCATTTGCACCCTCCATTCTCAGTTTTCTACATTATGCAAACAAATGGCATTTATTAGACTCATAAGAACTTCGTGTGAGTGTTGCTGCTCAAATCTTCTGCCCTGTTTTCAGCAAGGCTTTGTGGTTTCTGATGATTTCAGCTTTCATTTATGAAACCAAAACCCATTGGCCCCGAAGCTAAATTATCTCTTTGGTGTTGTCTTTTTCAACCTGCACCCCAAAGTGACACCAGCTGAAGAGGCAATCTCCTGTTCTCCCACTCATCCTGAACGGGGTGCAGGGAGGTATTTCCATGTTCACTGAGGTAATTCCAGAGCTGAGGGATAGCCTGGTTCAGCACTGTGCTTTGGTCAGCTCTCCTGGGTGGAGCTGGGGCTGCTGAAGTCCGGCTAAAATTATCAACAATTTCATTATTCTGCACATTTTGTGCTTTGAATGAAGCAGGCCAAAACTTACCAGCAAGAGTTCTGCTGAAGCAGGTGTAATTTCTCATTTGCCATTGTGATTAATTTACTGGGGTTTTTAATGCTTCTTTGGGTGTTTTWAAACCCTCTAAAGGCACTATTGTTCTAGATATTTTCAGGGTCTCCATTTGTTTTATAGACACTCCCTAATTTTAAACTTTAAACAAAAAGCATCAATGGAACCAGRAAGATAAGCTCAGACAGCTATAGCCTGCTTGTTTTTCAAATTAACCTTTGCTAGTAGCATAATAGATAGCTGGGAGAGCTAACTTGAATAAAATTACTGTAATTGTGATTTCTCTCCTTTAGGTATGCTGGGAAAATAGAACTGCTATTGAACACACTGTGCATCAAATCAGTGTATTATACCAGTGATGGAGTATTGTGAAAGAAAAATGGGATTTCTGAGGAAGAATAATTTTCTCTGTAGCATACAGATTTCCCCAGGTCGAGCTGAATAATGGGTATTASTCATTGAAAGCCAAACTTGTAATGCTTAACTATTTTTTTGCCTGAGCCTCAAATCCAATACTGTGCAAAAGTTGTGACTGTGCACCTATTTTCCTTTCTGTTTAGCCATCAGAACAGACAAATATTGCATGCAAATAYCCAGTTAATTTGCTATTTTAAATGCCAAATGAACTTCTGAAGCCAGATTCACATGTTATTAATGACAAACTTTACCATTTCAGTTAAAAGATCTGGCTGTCCCAGGGTCCTGTTCCAATGAAAGCAGCAATAGCTGATATCAAAGGGCAAACTTAACATTTACCCTTTTGGTGTCAGAGACTTGCCATCCATAGAATTACCCATACAGAGGCTTTGTGTTATTCAATCCTGAACAGATTTTTTTTTTCCACTTGGTTTTTGAATGTCTGTAGATTTTCATTTTCCATGGGTATACTCCTGGTTAAACCACCAGTTAACCACAGCTGGTTGTCTTACTCATCATTCTTAAGGAGGACATGTATTTCATCACACACTTTGCATTGCCTATTTCTGCTACATCCTTTTTTTGACAAGTGAAAGTTTTCTAARCAATGGCAGTACTGTGAAAATTGATGCAATTCTGTGGCCTTCCTTTGCTTTGGTTATAGGAATTAACTATGCCAATTACTTAGGTATCAGCAGCTGCTTATATTTGGAAATTTGWGATCTTTAAGGTCCCTTCYATTTTATGATTTTKATTYACAGACATCATMAAGATGCTCYCATGTGAGTTCATGTGTGATCCTATATCTGCTGAGCAGAACTTGGCCGTGTGTGCATCAGTGATTAAATATTTTGATTTGAATGCTGTGTGAATATCTCATCTYACAGCTTGGCTTGTTTGATTTCCAGGGGTGTGATCAGTGATGTTCTGAGTGTTCAGGGGTGGCTCTGTGGGRTCTGGGGCAGCTGTAGCAAAGTAGGATGGGAGTAGGATGACACACTGGGTTACTTGATCCACTTTTCCTTTGGCATCACAAAAATCCACATTACGTGCTGAGCACCCAAATCCAGCAGAGAACACCCACCAGCGGGGCTCAGGTGCTCTCCACACTTCACCCCTGAGATCAGTGTTGCAGTTTTGCATTTTGCACTTGGTGAGAGTGTAAGAAGGAGGAGGGAAAGGTTTAATTTTAGCCCACGCAGGAAGTTTGGGGCAGCCAGGTGCCTGCTCTGCTCAATAACTGCTCCTGCAGGGCTGTCCTTGGGGCAGGCAGGTGTGCAGGATCACTAAGGGGGAACTTTCCTCACACTGGATACTCCCTTTCCTGTTACTAATGGGAAATGCTTTCCTGGCACCCTGTTTGCAGCTATAATTACACTGGCCTCTCAGACAGAGGTATTTTGTGTTTGAGATGGATCCAACAGCATGGCTGTGTTAGATGCTTCAGCTTCTCACAAGAGAATCTCAGGATATTTTGWGTTGGAAGGGSTCAGGGTCATCTAAGTCCAAACCTGGATGTGTAGAACAAGTCATTCATACCCATTTTCCCTTCCACATGTTTTCTTCTCTTCCTTCTTCTGCATGTTCCCCTGGAATTTTCCCTTTGTCTCAGGAACAACTCTTCCTTTGTCAGATTCTGTAATTTCATCTCTCCACAGCGTTTTGTGTTTTTCTTCTAACCTTTTTTTGGGGTTATTAAACCCACAATTCAAACTGTCTCACACTGGGAGTCCTTGGCCTTTCAGCTTTTGGATGCTCCTGGGTGAGATGAATTCTCTGCATTAAATATCTCCCTGGTCACCCGTTAGGGAAATTTATAGATAATTTTTAGAGTCATCTTGTAACTTTTAGGCAAAACTGCCTTGGATGAGTTGAATCCCAGAAAGGATTTTATAAAAAAGTATTGCTGTTCCTTTCTGTGCCCACATTTATTCCTTCTCTCTGGTTAGAATGAAGTCCACTTTTTGTAAAATACTTTTGGAGCTACCTTGTAAAAAGCTGACCTAGAAGTGAAATGAGACAGTACGTTTCATTCTGGAACATTTCTGAATATTTAATTAAATCCTTGTTTACTGTGGTGTCATGATACTGGGCAATTAAAAAAACATGACCCAAAGTATTCAAAA